GGGGGGGGGGGGGGGGGGGGGGGGGCATTGCGAGTTGGCTTGGGGAGTGGTTTGCCTAGCAACGCAACCGTCGGGAGAGGGAACCGACGCGATACGAATGCGAAGCACTGTGGGCGCGTCGGTTCCCCCTCCCGTTGGTTGCGTTGCTAAGCAAACGCCTTCCCAAGTCAACTCGCAATGTCCCTCCTCCTCTTCTTAGTATTTTGCCTGTCAACACTGGTCGATAGAGAAACATCTTGAGACGTATACCTACATTGGCGTGTACATACAAAGGCTCGGCTTTCCCCTTCGCCCACACATACGCAGCCCTGTCGCCACCCATGCTCCACCTATTTTCGATCGTAATCGACTCGATTTTGTTTCGACGAGTTTTCGACCGGTTAGTAACTCCCCAAAGACCTCTTTTTCCGGCCCAATTAACGGCTCCATCGCGAAAAGGTAATTCCGGTTTCCCGCGTCGCGTCGCAGAGCTCCAGTCGTTGAAAGCTGCTCTAATTGCAAGACGATCGCGAAGAGAACCACGAGGGAAAAGGTATTACGTTTTTAACGTGGGTTCTCTCATTTTCAATTCTCGTTTCCAGTTCCAGCAGCGGGTTCGAAATTATTTCGACTTTCCCCTCGTTTTCTCTTCACGACCGCAGTATTACGAGTAGAATCTCATTTAAATTTAAGTGGTACATGCTCGTATTTCATGAAGGTTTCTCCGTAGAATTTTTACCAGAGTCTCCGTATCGTAGCGTAGTTCGTTGGGGCGAGCTTCCCCCGATCGTCTCGTCCTACGCCACCCCCCCCCCTTTCTGCTAAAACATCTCCTCGACTCAATCGCCCACGAATCACGAACACGTCGAAATCCGACAGAGAGCTCGAATCACGATACTTTTTAATATCATGTGATATTGGTTTTGTAAATATTAACGGGAACGGAATGTAGTTCGCGCGAAATTATAGTTGCGACACGTCCGAGGTCCGTCGCCAGCCACGCTGCAATTGTTATCGGCGCGCGCGCCAGTAGATTCAGACAACCATGGCCAGACGACGCTTCGATAACACTGTTCGGCACGATTTTTGGGTTCCTATAGCCACTATGAAATTCTTGCAGAGCTTCACTCCCTGAACAAGAATCCGAAAACCGAATTGCTCCATCACCCTCAGTTTTGTAAATAAACGAATTTTTGTAAAAACCCAAAATTTTCGACAAAAATGAGGTATTGCATGAAAAGTACAAACGTTAGAAAGTTCTAATTGGTGTTAAAAGACAGAGGAGAGTTTCCCGAATATAGTGGCATGCAATTTATTAATTGTTTTAGGTTCTAAATAGCAATAAATTGATGTCAAAGTTTAAAAAAGTGTCGACGTGAGCAATTTCTGCGCAATATTTTTGTATTTTTACGAAAAGTTTTTTGTTCGGCACGAAAACTCTACCCAGAATCGGATTCTGTAGAAATTTTGGGTTTTTACAAAAATTCGTTTATTTACAAAACTGAGGGTGATGGAGCAATTCGGTTTTCGGATTCTTGTTCAGGGAGTGAAGCTCTACAAGAATTTCAAAGTGGCTATAGGAACCCAGAAAAAGAGTTTGATTTTGTCGGACAGTGTAATTTGAGGAGCTACTTGAAACGATTATGCACTTTGTGATATAACAAAATAATGCTACATTTAGGAATTTAACGCTTTAACACTTTCAGTGCCATATCAGCCGTACGTGGGTGATAGAATTATTAATTAAATTAGAATTAAATTAATCTATTATTACATCTACACACTTTGAGAATATTCAAGATTTCTTTCTTTCTTCATCTCTTCCAATATTGTTTCTCCATCTATCTACAATATTTGGGGTCATTTCACGCGAAATCGGACAGCTTTTGGAATATTGTTTCAGATTTTAGTCTTTGAATAATCTTTAGCGATATATGAACAAATCTCGAAGGGCATTTCTAAATTTTCAACATTGTTAATTTTACAGGCCTATAAAATAAAGTGTCAATATTATATTATTATTTATATTATTTTCATTATCAATATTATTTGTATTATTTATATTATTTTTATTATTTTTATTTTTATTATATTAATTTTGATTATATTATTTTTTCTATTAAATCATAACTATTGAACTACCAAACCGATGAGAATAAGCTTTTGGGTGGTTAAATTACAAACATAACAGTATCTAAGGAAAATAAGTTTAGTTTAAAAAATATATTTTTTCACTGTTTATTTTTCAACTGTTTTAAGCAAACGCGATGGTTTTATAGCAGGATACTATTGAACAATTTCTCTTGATTATAACAATATTCCTAGTTGTTGAAAACAGCCTTTCGCTAGTTGTTTTGTTTTCTTCTAGGCACAGCGATATATCGTTAATTATTATATCTTGTATTTATTATTAAATCTATACAGGGTGTACCAAAAATCGTGATACAATCGGTCAGGTAGTGATCCTACATACAAAGATAAGACGAAAGTGGAGTTACATTTTTTCATTTAAGGATTTCTTTTTGAGAAAACTGAATTGGAAAATGCATCGAGTAGTGACGAGTAATGACGAGACGTAGAATTGGTATTTCATGACCAGACGCGCCACTTGATTCCTACACAATAATAGTATTATTCTTCCAACGTAATATTTTTCGCAAACGAAACCTTAAATGAAAAAATGTTATTCTTTCTTTTCGATCTATTTTTACATCTAAAATCGCTCACTTAATTTAATTTTGATTAATTTTAATTAAATTAAATCGCTCTTCTTAATTTTATTAGGATAAAACGTAAGAATGTTGAAAATATAGTTGATGTCATATAACTTAACTTTCCAATTTCAATTTGATTAAATAAAATACTTTAATTTTATGCTTTTTTGATGGGCTTCGTTCTGATTAGTTGTCAGTATCCAAAATTGGTCTTAATACTTTGGCTACGTTAATTGGCTAAATTAAAGTAGTACATTTAATCAAGTCGAAATTGGAAAATTTAGTTCCATGACAACAATTACTTTTTCAACAATCATACGTTCTGCAGGTCCTAATAAAATTAGGAATATATAATAGAGCAGCGTAAAATTAATTTTCTATTCCAAGCAAATAATTCTATCATCCACATATGGATGACACGGCAGACCGCGTTAAACAACGAAAATGGAGAAACTTGGAGGAAATATTTTTAACATGTATCGATACATTACAATT